TCAAATCTGATAACGGCCCACAGTTCAAATCTGAGCTGTTCAGAGAATATTGTGAAACTAATGGAATCAAACACATAAGAACTACACCAAAATGGGCTCAAGCAAATGGAGAAGTGGAACGGCAAAATGCATCATTGATGAAAAGAATCAGGATCGCACAAGCCGAAGGACTTGACTGGAAGCGAGAGCTAAGAAAATATGTAACAGTGTATCGCAGCATTGAACATCCAACCACGGGCAAAAGTCCAGCAGAACTACTGTTCAACCGCAAAATGAGAGGAAAGTTACCGAACATCAGTGAGGCAAAAACAACGGAGCTGGACGTGCGTGACAGAGACGCTGAACAGAAAGGAAAATCAAAGATTTATGCTGATGAACGAAGGGGAGCTGAGTATTCAAAAGTTGACTCGGGAGACACAGTGCTGGTTCAACAAGACAAAGTGGACAAGTTTACAACACCATTCAACGCAACACCACACAAAGTTGTAAGCAGAACTGGAAACCAAGTCATTATTGAATCACCAACAGGAGCTCGCTATCACCGGAATACCACACATGTGAAGAAATACGAGACGAATGAGACCAGAGAAGGACACTATGACACAATACCTGAAAGGGAGGAAGGTGAAACACCCACAAAGACTGACACCTTCACTCCAACACCACAAGAGGGCTCCCAGGGGCCAGAGAGACCAAGTAGATCACAGAGGGCTAAAAAGATACCCGAGAGGTTTCGTGATTTTGTGGTGAAATGAACTATAATATGTTAAGGTGAAGAGGTAATTTAAAGTTGGCAAGTTTCAAGTTCATATGTGTATTTCGACATGTATATATTGAAAAAAGAAAGGTACATGTGTGGTGAGACAGTTAGATTATATACTTGTTAGAAAGTAAGACAAGAAGAATGTTCAGTGTTGAAAAAAAAAAAAAAAGACATCAAAGTTATTACAACTAAAGTTTGAGTCTAAGGAAAAGGGGGATGTCATGTATTGATATGGCTATGTCTTAAGGTGATGACCTTTGAACCGGAGGTTGTTGTGGTCCGGGGGGAGCCCCGTTAAGTGGCTAGTTGTAAGATGGACAGTGTTCAATAAAGCAACATAAAGACCGTGCTTTATGTCCTGATTCAATTCAGAGTGCTCTGCCTAATTTAGTAATAAGGTGAGCATACAACAGGTCCCTGAAGTTATGTGACTATAGTGTCTGCTGGTTGTTCATCATAAAAGGCTGAAAGCTACGGATACAGCGCTTTTTTAACAGTGCCACCTCCACCCCAGACTCAGGAACGCTTTCCCTGTGGGCGGGAGATCTGTGGACTCGGTTCTCTTAAAGGAAAAAACTAAACAGCTGTTACTATTGAATAAAAAACAACGGAATTGATGGAGACGGCTAGCACAACCATTGTAACGAGCATATCAATAAAGTTTATACAAAAAAAAGTCTACCTCGTGTCCTTGGCAACAACCTTTGACCCAAACATTCCCAGCAGGTTACTGGAGCTACTCATCTTTCAGTGTTATTATTTGCCCTCAGCTTTTCCTCTTTGTTCTAGCACTCGGTTGTTGTAGCAGCGATGCCGACGAATAAAGCCTCCAACCCTAAAAAGGCCAAAGGCGGGTAAGTGTGCGTTTTGTTGTTGTTAGCCGAGCTGAAGTACAAACGGAAACTTGAACTCCTCTTTGGGTTTTGTTTCAGGAAAGAAAAGAAGGAAGGCAAACGGGACTCGAAAACGGACAAAGAGTCGGACGTGGAGAAGGCCAAGGCCAACGCCGTCCTGTGGGAGCTGAGGTTAAAGGTCACCGAGCAGTCCCTGAGGGACTACACCGAGTCTTGTCAGAAGGTGGCACGCGCAAACGAGCATCTCACCAATCAGCTGTACCACGCGGAGAAAGACGCGATCCATATAGCAGGCCACTGGGAGAGACAGCTGGCAGCTAAAGAGGAAAAGGTCCCGGAATAACTCAACTGAACATTTTAAAGCAGTGCTAACCGAAAGTACAATAAAAGCTAATACAAAATTGTCAAACTTTCATATGTTAGGTGTAAATCAGGGGTGTCAAACATAAGGCTGGAGGGCCAGAATCGGCCCAACAAAGACTCCAATCTGGCCCTCTATGACTTTGGAAAGGAGGGCGTAAATGTAGGATTTTTCTACTGATATAGACTTCAGACCAAAGATGAAGCCAAAATTAATCAAGTCATAGATAACCAATCAAATGATGGAAAAGTTTCTGTTTTTTCACTATTTACTACAAAAATGTATGCTTTATATCCACAGTGGAAAAAAAATGAATAAGAAATTTAAAGTGAATTAAGCAAACCTTTATGTTTTATAATAGTTTAGGCAATGTGCTACCAGAACGTTTTGAGTAATATTACACATTAATTTCTTATAATTTAAACCAACATTTAAATTATCAGTTGTGCTGACAGATTTCTGTCATTTACTACTGTAGCATTTCTTTATATGTAGAAAACTGAGACTTACTGCTGAAATTGCACTTCTTTTCTTTTATGAAGATATCTCAAGGATTAAATGTGTACTTAAAGTTCTTTCCACCAACAGAAAGGGGAGATTTACTGGACTGGCCCATTTAAGATCAAAGTTGGTAGATTAGGATAATTTCTACTTTCTATATACAACACCATAAAAAAAATAATAATTTATTGAATAAAGAACAAAAATACTGCCGACCTGCCCTATAATGACACCAACCTCTCTCCCAAAAACCTTGGTAGTCCTAACGAGGATCACCCTGTACAATCGCCAGTACCTAGTGTCCTAATTCCTAGTTCCCATCTTAGCACCCCCATTTTATCATTATTTCTATTTGTATTTTATTAATTACCTCTCCTTTTCAGCATTCTTATTGCTATCAAGAAGTAGTAGAAATTGTAGCAGCAGTAGTGATGGTGGGAGTGGTGTTATTACTAATGTTATTATTAATTATATTATTATAATTGTTGTTGTTGTGATTTTTTGATATCACATATATTCACATATGGAAAAACATCAGTAATTTCCACATTTCTACTTTTTTCTCAAAATTGATTTTTGACTTTATTTTTTAATATGATCAACAATATTTTTTCTTTCTTAATGTGGCCCTAATATTCCGTCGTAATCTTTCACAGTAAAACACTCTCTGTTTAAAAAAGCTCAAAGTGTGCAGTGTGTGGCCCATGAATATGTAAAATTAGGTTGACAGCCCTCATGTAAGTGATCAATGTGGTGTTTTCTTGGATGATTTAAACTGTCACTTTACAGATTTGTGTGCTGGAGAAGGCCTTACAAACTCAGCAGGCACTTGCCCGAGAAGAGAAGGACAAATTGGTGAGTTCATATAAAACTCAGCCACACTAAAAGAAAGACAGGCACTTTCACATCTGGTCCACGAAACATGCTCCACATGCCTAGTATGTACATGGCAGAAAACTCCAGTAGAGCTTGTGATTTACTGTACTCGTGTTAAACCTGTAGCATCACAAAAATGTGCTGCGCTGTGTCTCAACAGCTGTCTTGTGTGCAATTATGTGGATATTTATTATGTAAGAAAACAACCAAACAAAGTGACCATAAAGCAAAAAACAAACCCCACACATTCCAAGTTACATGGTCCAATGTTATTTAAATCCACGTCAGTGGCTACAGGGGGGAAAAGCATAATTTAAAAGTGCTTGGTTGGAGAAAAGCAGTCTCGTTGCTGGTCTTGATGTGTTAACCATACCTCACATATCACACATATCCTTGCGCTAAAATGCAAAGGAACTTTTGACTCTTCCATCCCTGCACTCAGCTTCTTATAATTAAAATAAAGAAATTTTGCATTGCTTGCTTGACAAGTGGAGACAAAAAAAATGTACAGAAAGCCTTTTGCTAGCAGCTGTTTTCCATCCTCCAGCTCTTTTTACATGATGGATGAAAAAAGAAGCCTGGTTTGGACCAACTTAAAACAAGCCTGTTACATAAATGTATGGACCTCTCACATACGATCAGTCAGTGGAAAATTCTGTGGCTAACTCCAGAGATGTGACCCAAAACATGCTGTTTACAGCCCTTTTCTTACTGTAAGGTCACATGAGCTGAATGCTTAATCCTTCCTGGAAGACATCGAGTTGGCCTAGGATGCAGCGTTGGCATATAGAGCCTATTTTTGCCACCCTCTCTTGGCTTTCAGTGAAATGTAGAATTCATTTTTTCGTGGACTCTACATGGTCTGGCTTATACTACAGGCCTGCAGCCTCTTTAATTATGTTATCAGTGTTTTTTAACTGTTCTTAAAACCAAGAGGTGACCACGTTTTTGATGTTTTAGCAACCAAACTGTGGAACAGCCTTTCCCCTTCCATCAGGTTGGCTGATTCAGTAGTTTTTGCTAAAAGCTCATTTTTGTAGGTTATTGTTTCCATAAACATTCATTCCATAGCTTCTATGTCAGTATGACTGCTTATCTCTGTGTAATGTATGTTTTGATGACTATCCAAACTATTCCAATAGTGATGCACTTTGCATCTGTGTTTTAAAACAGTTATTTTTATAACTGTCCTGCATATGTTCAATTTGCAGCATCAGGAAAAGACATATTTAGGCTGTACTAATCGCTGTGAACTTTAAACTGGAAGGTATTTTTGGAAGGCTTGACCACTTGATAGATCCCACACAGTGAAAATTGCAGATGACGCAAACCAGCTTGTGTAAATACTGTCGACTGGCTCTCTGAAGTCGACGAATGCGAACGGAGTTATCTGCAGAATAACGATTAGGCCTAACGTTGTAATCAGATGGTTGATAGCCTCTCATTTACTCGTCATGTACATGTTTGTGGGTGCGTGTTTTTCTAGTTTCTCATGACTTTGGTCATTTTGTCACATTTTGCTCAGACTGGCTTCTCCACAGTAGCATCTTGAGGTATTTAGCACGAGTGATCTGTGCTGAAGTCAGTTTGCAAAAGAGCATTGGCCATTTGAACTCCACGATGAAATCTTCCTAAGTATTACAAGCTGCACTTGTGGGACGTTTGCACCAGACCCAGTCTAAGTGGATTTATGTGTACAGTTGAGACATGGCATTTAATACCCAGGATTCTGTTTTTGTGTCTGTGTGTGTGTTTGTCTAATTCAAAAGGTCAGTGAGCTTAACATGATCCAGGAAGAAATGAGGAAGATGAAAGACATAGAAGTCCAAAGGGAGCAGGATATCGTTCACGTGAGGACACACAAAAAAAACCACACAAAAAATACTTATTACATGTAAGGATATTAAAATGTGACCAGTAACCATGGTTTTTCATATTCCAGATGAAACAAAGCAGCGATGATGCTTACAAGAAGCTAATGCAACACCTAAGAGAGAAGGAGGATCAGTTCTTAAAAGAAATGGTAGGAAGTCAGGAATATAATCCAAAAATTCTCCCCCGGGTTTGGAACTACACTTACTGGTCAACTTTGTTAGCTATGTCTTGCTAGGACCAGCTTGGACCCCCTTTTGGTTTTAGAAATGTCTTCATTCTTCACGGCATAGATTTAACAAGGTGCTGGAAACATTCCTCAGAGATTTCGGTCCATATTAACATGACAGCAACACAGTTTCTGCAGATCTGTGATGTGAATCTTCCGTTCCACCTTGTCCCAAAAGTGCTCTTCCTATCGGCTTAAAGCAGTCTGGCCATTCTTCTCTCATGTCTGGTATCAACAAGACATTTTCTCCAACAGAACCGCTGCTCACTGCAAATTCTCTCGTTTTTTGGCTGCTGTCTGTAAACTCTAGAGTGAAAAATCCTGAGCAGAGCAGCAATTTCTGAAACACTCAGAACCATTTGGTACCAAATGGTCAAAGTCACTTAAATTACCTTTTTCCCATCTGATGCTCGGTTTGACCAGGTACAAATGTCTAAGTGCAAAAGATGTTGGTGAAAAAGAAGCTTTAATATTGAAAGGTGAAAGAGTGAAAAAGCTGTAAATTTCCCTTCAGGAACGCTTGGAGAAAGAAACAAAGGCACGTAGTCAAACAATGGCCAAGATGGCGGAGGACCACCGTGAAGCCATTGTGTGAGTCCTTTGTTTGTTTGTTTTGCTGTCACTTTACAGTCTAATTTTGCTCTATAAATTGCACTGTCATGCAAAGTGCAAAGAGAAAATAATTTACTCATATGAGTGATTATGTATAAAAATAGATTTCGCTAGAACTGATGTTATTTTTTGACCACGCCGGCTCGTCATGTTCCAAGGAACACATCCTCAGCCATGCTGCAGCGAGGAAAAAGTAAAGTGTGTGTGTGGAAGACCATAGTTTATTACTTTTGAGGCCATAAGATGTGCACTGCCTCTGCTGTGTTTAGTTATTTTTTACAGCTCATAAAACATTTACATTGATACTGGTGTGGTCCTGTCGGTTTGATCTTGGTGTCGGTAATTGATTTAATTTTGGACACATGTGGGTGATCTTAAAAAGTCAAGTGCAGTCATTCAGTAAATTCACTTTACGAGGCTTACAAAAGAAAATGTCCTTATTATATTATTGTAATATGCACTACTTAATAACTTTGAAATATGCAGTCATGGTAAAAATAATATTTCCTTTGAATTACATTCAAGTTTTGTGTATCAGGACATCAACAGATGACATATTCGTCAAGGACATCCTTTAATGAACAAAAACGAAGCCAGAACAAAGAAGCAGTGTGTGAAAAACTAAGTACATCCCCACCACCTTTATTGTCTGTTTAAAATACACTGAGCTGAAGTATAATGAAATGTGCTGTATGAATAAAATTGCCATCGTCATTTAGCAGAAATAACGTTACTGTGTGACCGTGTGCCTCTTATATCATTGTGGAGGAATTCTGACCCACTTTTCTTTACAGTTTTGCTTCAGTTTATTGAGGTTTGCAGCAATTATTCATGCGCAGCTTAAGATCATTTCACTCGGGTTAAAGGTGGCGCTTTGACCAGGTCATTGTTAGTCTTTTTCCTTTTTTTGGCCATTCTGTTGTAGATTTGATGCTGTGCTCGGGATCATTGTCCTGACCACTGGCATGACCGAGTCAAGCCTTAGCTATCAGACAGGTGGCCTCTCATTTTGAGTCTAGAATACTTTGGTGTACAGAGGAGTTCGTGGTCGACTCAATGACTGCAAGGTGCCCAGGTTCTGTAAAACAAGCCCAAACCATCACTCCTCCACCACCATGCTTGGCAGTCGGTTTGAGGTATTTGTGCTGATATCTTGTGTTTGCTTGTCATGAAATGTGGCACTATAAATTATGGGCAACAACTCAATTTTGGTCTTGTTTCTCCAAAGGATATTGTTCTAGAGGTTTTGTGGTTTGTCTAAGATGCATCTTTGCAAACCGAAGTCATACTGACATGTCTTTTTTTAGAAAGACGAGGCAAAGATGCAATACTTTGTTTGTTTGTTTGTTTTTTGTACTGTAGTTACATGCTAACTGGGGCCTTAGTAGTCTTTTTTTAATTTCTCTTAGCTGGAACATCTACTTTTGCAAAGATTGGCAACTTCCTTGAGTGTTTTCCACTTGTGAACAATCCTTCACTGTAGAAGGACTTCAGATTGTTTAAAATGACCTAATAACCGTTCCCAGATTCTCTGAGATCATTGCCGATATTTTTCCTAATTGGAATTGTGTCTACACACATCTGAATGCACCAGATGAACAAACTGCCAAAACCTTTGCTTCTGTGAACATGGTCACATTTCATATCAGTTGAGTAGCAGCATCTGACTGATAGTTGCTCTCATGATCTCTGTGTAACTAGTACTTAGTTTTCCCCATACACTGCTTCATCAGCCAAGTTGTTCTTGACTCAGTATAATATGCCATGTTTTATAGATCATCTGAGGTTGTGTTTATCTAATTTTAAGTGCTCATAAAGACTAAACACTGATGCACAAAACCTTAGAACTGACAGGGTTTATACTTTTATTTTCATTTTTTGGACTGTATTTCACAAATAAATAAATGAATATTTCTTTTTGCAGCAGGCTAGGAATTGACTGCAAATACTGCTGAACACAATATCAAGACTGGTGCGTGTTCATAACTGTTGATTCATTTTTCAGTGTCTCTCTTTTATGCTGTAAACTGTTTAGGCGATTGAAAGATGCTTTGCACTCTGTGATCAAGGAGCGCGATTGCCTCATTGACAAGCTGAAATATCACATAAAGGAGGCAGAGGATCTGCAGAAGTTAGCAAAGTTACTGACTGAGGAAAACACCTCACTGGCATTGGACAAGGTATGTTTAAACCAAAGGACAGCAAACACCAGAGTAGCTATTAGGCACCAGCAGTCCCTGGACAGAGGCCATTCATCTCCATAAAGACATTTTAAATCACTTTCAGTTATGAAACACTTGTCAGATCTGTGCAGAATATATTTCAGGTGGTTTTTCCCTTGTGTTGTTTACTTGTGCTGATCCTGTGTATTTTGCTTGTGGTCCCACTCCCACCCCCCTCATCTTCTGACTACTATCCAGCCTCTCAGCGGTCAGTGGTTGTGGTGAGTTTCCACTGGTGTCTGGGTTCAAATAAAGTAGCTTATCCTTGGCCGTTTTCTGGCTGTGATTCTTAAACATAAATAAATGCTGGGCACATTAATCTTACCTCTGATGATGACAGCTAATCAGTAGAGTAAACCTGGCTTACTGAAACTTTGACCACTCACTGAGCAGAACAGGCTGGAACACAAGTCAATATCTGTTCCTTGTTCTACACTGGAATAAAAGTGAGAGGATTTTCTAAAATTAACTCTGTGTTATCCGTTTCCTGCTCACCTAGAGCATGCTGGAGTTGACGGTAAAGGACAACGCAGCACAGATGGGGACTCAAAAACAGAAGCTAACTGAACTGAGGGCCGAGGTGGCTTCCCTGGAGGAGGCCCTACAGCTCAAAGCCGTGGAGATTGAGCAGCAGGAGAAGAAGGAGAAGGCGAACCTGGTCACCATCCAGGCCAGCCAGGTGGAGCTGGACAAGCTGCAGAAAGTGCTCGCGATGCGAGAAAAGGAAATGAAGCATGTGAAGCAACTGGCGAGCACCATTGTAGCAAAGCGCCAAGAGCTGGAGGAGTTCTTCCATGAAGCACTGGGTCATGTGAGGAAGGAGATCAAGGACAGCAGGCTCCAATACAGACAGGAGGCACTGCAGAGTTATCGTAGGAGGTTTAGAGAAGCCACAGCAGGAAAGATAAAGTTCCCACCCATCCGCACCTTCCATAAAACTGCCCACAGTACCAACTCTGTCTATTCAGACATGGAGGCGGCTGCGACATGGTAGGTCTCCTGCCCTTCTCATCATTTCCATACGCTGTGTGTATCTTCCTGATATTTTTAATTCCTTATGTTTACTAGTGCTGATTCCCAGCTTGTTCAGTGGTCAGCAAACATCTTTGTGGTTCATATTCATTAAGTAAAGGAATTTACACAACAAAAGTGACACTGAAATGTGATTTCATCTGCTTGTCTTGAAGGACGGATCAACCGGGGAGCGAAGTTGAAATCTCTGATCTCACTTGGGAGCAAAAGGAACAAGTGCTCCGGCTTCTCTTTGCTAAAATGAATGGATGCAGAGAAAGGTAATGAAACGCTGCAATTATTTGTTTATGTTTGACTTAGCAGAAGTCGTGCTGGGCGCTTTGTTCGCTCATTGACTTCATCCCGATTTTAATACATTCGAATCCTTTTGTAATCCCCCAGAATGAACTGACACTGCTGCGGCAATTAACTCTGAAGAACAAAGTGCAGGGACACTGTGCAGAGGTTCAGTCACAGCTTCTGATGACTCCTCCCTCTTTTTAATGTTTTAAACAGCCATTTTCTCAGCAGAAGAGGATACCATAAAACATCAGTTAGGCTTCAAGCAATTTTCTTTTCCATGCAGCTGCTTAAAAAGAATGAAGAAAGAGTCTGGGCACAATAGTAAAAATAGGCCCAGGCCGCAGAGTCGTGTGCTTGGAAACAAACATCTGGTCACGTCGATTTGCTTTCACCCTATTGGCCTCTCTTCACGTGCACTCGCAGCTTATTTTGTTCTTTGAACACTTGTGGTCAGAGAGCAGCTGGTAACATGATTTTCAGGAAGGAGTGTGCAGGAGAGCTGGATGTATAGGGGCAAGGCAGGCATGAGGAGAAGTATATTCAGGTTAACCTCGGTCTGGCAGCTAGACCAGCAGAATAACACAGAACATTTGGCAGCTGAAGTTTGCAGCATGCAAATCCATGTGAGTTGTGCTGACCCGGAGTAACCCCTTCGCTAGACAGGCTGGAGGCCTCAGTGAAAAGACACCACTGTGCTAAAACATGACTTTTCACTGTGAGGTTCTGTATTTAACCGCAACTCCGCATCTTCCTGACAGCCAAGTCAGCCGACAGGTGGCTCTGCCGGCCTCCACTGAGAAGAGGAGCTTCACGGAGAGCGATGTAGCCGGGTAAGACGCTGAAGGAATGCACAAGAATAAAAACTGTGCCTCATCCTTGCAATTAAGAAGCCCTTTAAGATTTATTGGTCCCCACATTCCATGTTTAGCCAAAAAAGCAGCGGCTGTGAGAACATGAGTGCCTACATGTGATTTATCAACACAGTGGCATGATGATGACTTTCTTCCAGAATTAGAGAGGAGCTGTCCCCGGCGACCATGAGCACCCCGGCGCCATCAGAGTCCACGCTGCCAGCCGCCCAGCCAGATACACACATCACGTGACCTCCGAGTGGCCTCTGTGTCTCACATTAAACTGTGCTTGCGTGTTTCCTCAAGAGTGTTAACACAACTAGAATATAGGATGTTTGTTTGTGCTTGTTCAAAATATCTTACCGTGCACGCATGTGCGGTGTGGCATGTGAGTGCTTTTGCACGTTCTGTCTGTTGTACCTCAGTTTAAAAAAGAAAAGAAAGAAAATATTTTTGTGACTACAGAGTGCTGATAAGGACACATGCACCAGGTGACATGAGGATTTCAGTTTGCCCACACACCTCATTACCTCCACTTACATCCTTTCTTTGCGCCTTCCAGCAAGGATGTGACAAGCAGTTGGAACAGGAGTAGCATCTTATAAGCCGAATAGCCGGGTCACCTGTACAAATGACCCCCCACCCACACTCACCCGTGTGGTAAGTGGTTAAAAAGAATGGATGGATAGATGTTTTGTTTTTTTTTAAATCATTTTTGAGGGGTTTTATCTTTTATTATGATAGAAAAGGTGAAAGTAGATTGGAAAGCTGGAAGAGAGCAGCAAATGGCTCAGGGCTGTTTCAAACCCAGGCCTGTAAAATTTACAGCTTATCGGTCAGTTGCTCAATCCGGTGAGCTATAGTGTTGCCTGTGTATTAATAGATTTGATATAAAGTGTCAGCACATTGACTCTCTCTTATCTGATAAGTCATATACACAATACTAGAACGTAAGCTTGATGAGTATCAGTACAGTGCAGGTGCAGCATTTGCACATTAAGACACTTGATGAATGGATAAACATGAGGCACGTTTACAGGAAGATGCCTCATTGAGGAGAAAAGGGGGTCATGGGAGGAGAGGTGTAAGATAGCATAATCAAAGGCAACCGGTGTGACTCCAGGCAGCTTTCATTTCTGTGAAACACAAACACAGCAAGTGTATAAGAGTTTCAGCAGGTGCTGTATTTCTGGAAATGACATTGACCCAATAATGTTACAGAACTTTTGGATTGCCTTAGTGTTGTCCCCTCACACAATAGCCACATCTACATATCTTATATAAAGTCTTTTAATCTGGGGATTATTTATTTATAACTTGTATTTATGAGCTATTCACAGGTGACATATGAATCTGCTTTTGCAAGTGGAGCGTTTGACGTCTCCTGGTTTACAAGAGTAATCAGCAGCGACTGGATGGAGCATTTAGCGTCCCATGGTAGGCATGGTAACGGCAGGACTTTTTAAGCTGGCATCTTCAGCTTTCCATTGTGCGGTGACTGTTTTGATCTGTGTGTAGAACTGGATGCCCTGAAGAGCAAAAATAAAAGCGTTTACATCAAATTAAGACAGCTGCTGTGTTTTTACTCTCACAGGCCCAACGACAGGATCCGTTCGTTTTAGTTGCCACTCACTTGTTTTCCGTAGAAGTTCGTGTCCCCTCTGAAGGATCCCCTCGATCCAGTGAAGGAGAACATTGGCAGCGGCACCGGGATTGGAACATTGACTCCCACCTGCAGAAAACAAGCATTGTCCCTTTCATTTCCATAAGTGTAAGGTTTGTAAAACAATTCCCTCAGGTCCTAAATTGCTAGGGACAAGCGAGACGCAGCTGATGAGAGATGCGGTACGTGCGTGCTGTTTACAAAGCAAGCTTACACGATCGCACAAAACAGAGATAAACCTGTGGCTTTTATTTGATGTGTGAAAACAAAGCGTGCTCTTACGAAAAAGGGAGGAAAACAAAAAATATATAAAAATAAAGTTTTGTTGCGAAAACACCAAGAGGCACGGCATGGTTGGTTTAGTGTGTTTTAAACAACGGGAATAGGTTTGCATACTTGGGCCTTTTGGCAAAGGTGCATGGGAGAAAAGAAAAAAAAACAAACAGAAAAGTAGATGTTTGTTGCATGGAGGTTTGGAGACGAGTACGGCACATGGCCTGCACAACATTCCCCGACATGTGAACAGCAAACACAGGGCATAACTAGGCTCCACAGGCAAACAAACAGGATGGCCATGTTTTTACTTAACTGTTAAATACGCACCTAGAAATCCCTTTTGAGATTTAATTTTAACAATTCTCACCACCAACTCCCCTCTTCCCCTGAATACTACCTGGAAAAGTTTCTATGCATCCCTATTTTTATTTAACAGAAGCATATTTGCTGTTGCTATTTGCGACTTTCTTGGGTGTGGATGTGGAGGGGAAAAAGGGGTTGCTTAAGGTGTGCATTTTGGGTAGGGAGCAAATAAGGGTATGCTCAACATGGAAAATAATTGTTTTTATTTAATGTGTGAAGGCTTTCAAACAAATATGATGTTCTCTCCGCTTGAGATGGTGCATAGAAACGACAGAGCGGCGTGAATGTCTCCTTTCTCCCTTGAACGAGCTGCACATTTGGACGCAGCGGCCACTCACCTGGCCCACATCCACCTCGTGAGTATATTTGCGTGCGGTGGCACCGTTTGTGGTGAAGATGGCTGTACCGTTGCCATAGGGGTTCTTGTTAACCAAACTGATGGCATTGTCCAGGGAGTCTGCCTCCAGAACGACCAGCACGGGCCCAAAGATCTCCTCGGTGTAGCACTTCATCTGAGGCTGAAAGAGCGCACAACGGAGCACTTTCACCGACTGCAGACATCTTTGTAATATCACTCACGTGCAAGTACTTTTAACACATGAAGCCTCATACTGTGACGTTGCCGAGGATGGTAGGTCCCACAAAGTTGCCGTTCTCGTAACCTTTGACTTTAATATTTCGGCCATCCAGTAGCAGCTTTGCTCCCTCCTCCACGCCGCTCTGGATCAGACTGCAGACTCTGTTCCTGGCTTGGGGAGAGATCAGAGGCCCCAGATCTGCACCAGGCTGGTCTCCTAGCAGGGCCCCAAAAAACAAACAGCTATAAGGTTACACGTTCTGTCACTTGACGGATGCGAACAAACTATGGGCACTGACATTTCGTTGGCCACAAAAGCCAGGACAAGGGGCACTTTGAGGCACTCCCTCTAAAATGGATTCTTGCGGGTTTCCTGTGTATTGTACAAATTAAACTTCATATCGCTGTAAACACACAGACTCATTCTCCATTTTACTTCACATCAACTTCTTTTCTCATAGGATTTGATCCTCTAGACCGCCATTTAGGCCCGAGCCGCAGATCTGGCCACAAATTTGCAGCATGGCTGACTCAACAAGCCCAGCTGACTCCCAATGTGAAGTTACAACAGGCCATAAGGCAAGAGGTGAGGTTAGGGCGGTGTGGGTGGCCCCGAGATGAATAAAACCAAAAAAGGACCTTGGGGGAAACGCGCTCAGGAGAACAGGAGAGGCCGAGGTGAAGGCGATGGGGCGTGGTACCTGCATCCACGCGCAGAGCTTTGGCACGTTCCACCAGCTCCGGCAGCCAGCTACGCGCCTCGCCCACCAGTATGGCTGTGGACAGAGCCATGCAGCGTTGTCCCGCTGCCCCGAACGCCGCGCCCACAAGCTGGTTCAGAGTGTTCTCCTTGTTGGCATCAGGCATCACCACACCATGGTTCTTGGCTCCCTACAGTACACAAGAAGTGGTTAGCCCTTTGCCGTTTGATCTCCACATTACAGCAACTGGTTAGTCACAAGCAGGGACATAAAAATCAGGGAATTAGATTAGAAACAAACGACCTACAAATTTCACATTGTAAACTTGGTCCACATTTCAGTCCACGTGAGGCAATGGAACATTTCCAGTTCGCAATCTGGGCCTTTTTAAATGTGATGCACAGCTGCACCATGCACATGCACTCCTCAGTACCATTGGGCGACACAAACACTTGAAACTGTTGGCCAATGCTGCCACCTTCTGGATGTTTAAAGCACATGTCAGACATTAAAACTGTTGCTCACCATGTTGGACTGCACCCTTTTGCCATTTTTAGAGCCCCTCTCATAAATATACTCCCCTGCTTGATTTGAGCCAACAAAGCTGATTGCCTTGATGGCCGGATGGTCACAGATGAAGTTCACAGCTGTAAGAGGAAGACAGTTACAGAGATGACTTAAGTAATGGCAGGTGATTACGGTTTATGATTTAGAGCAAATGTAGATATCTTCATTGTTACACACATTGTTTTTCTGCCAAGATAACTACATTTTCTATCTGAATGATGGATTAAAAAAAAAAAAAAAAAAAAGGATTTATTGGCGGTAATTTGAGGCTTTAAGCTTATTTGTCGAACATCTTTACATCTTACTGTAACATTACACAGCCACCAGCTCTTACCGTCGTGTTGGCCGTGGATGATGTTGAGCGTTCCATCTGGAGCGCCAGCATCCTGCAGCATCTTAGCCAGCAGCATGGCGCATGTGGGCACACGCTCCGAGGGCTTCAGCAGGTACGTGTTGCCACATACCATGCCCATAGGGAACATCCACAGGGGGATCATGGCCGGGAAGTTGAAGGGGGCAATGCCGGCACACACCCCAAGGGGAAGGCGATAGGTGTAAGTGTCCATGTCTTTGGTGATGGAGGGCAGGGTTTCCCCGAGCATCAGGGAGGTGATGCTGCAGGTGTGTTCTACCACCTCTGCACAGAAAGAAGTATGAACCATAGTATGGTCAGGTTTAGCAATTAAAGGATGACTGGCATCTTTTCATTTCATGAGATTTTGTCCTTATGTTCAACACCCCTGGCAGTAGTTGGTTATTTATGTGCACAGGCACGGCATTTAAACAAACGCATGTGTGTGTCAGCTGCTACACCAGGATAAAGTTAGCAAAGGTAGATATCGTGATCTGCATTTTATTAAAATGATGATTCAAGTATGATGTAAACATGAAATATTTTTATTATAATGACAACTCCAGCTGTCACAGATACATTATTTTTTATTCTAAGCCAATTTATACAACTACGTCAATAAAAAAACCAAACTTTTTTTTTTTTTTTTTTAAATGAACCGGGCATATGAAGATGATCTAAAACATCATCTCCATGAAAGAAATAACAGACATAACAAACCACATCAAATCACTGAATTTGAACTAATAATTTTTTCAGGAGCAACTTTGTT